TTCTTGCTTCTTAACATAGGCATTTATTGCTATGAATGTCCCTCTTAGAAATGCTTTTGCTCTATTCCATAAATTTTTGAATCCATTTTTGTTTCAAGATAGTTTTAAATTTCTCTTTTAATTTCTTCTTTGATCCATTTTTTATTTAGGAGAATGTTGTTTAATTTTCACGTGTTTGTGAATTTTCCAGTTTTCATCATCATATTAATTTTTAGTTTCATACAATTGTGGTCAGAGAAGATACCTGGTATGATTTTAATCTTCTTGAATTTGTTACATCTTGTTTTGTGGCCTAACATAAGGTCTATCCTAGAAAATGTTCCATGCACACTTGAGAAGAATGTCTATTCTGCTGCTGTTAGGTAGAATGTTATGTATAACTTTTGTTAGTTTCATTGTTCCCAACTATTATTGAATAGCTATTTCTTCTGTTTTTTCTTTTATATTGTGGTGCTCTGACTTGGGCACATAAGTATTTACAATTGTTTTATTTTCTTGATGCACAGAACTCTTTATCATTATATAAACCATTGTCTCTTTTTAGCATTTTTAAAGTCTATCAGATAAGTATAGCTATCCCGGCATTTTGGGGGGTTAACATTTGCTGAAATATCTTTTTCTACCCCTTTATTCTCAGTCTGTGTGCTTTTAAGGATAAAGTTAGTTTCTTGTAGTCAGTATATCATTGGATCATTTATATTTAAAGTAATTATTGGTCCTTACAGGCAGGGACATGAGAGAGACGATCTCTCTCTTGGCTGTGTAGAGACACAGTGAGAAGGCAGCTGCTTACAAGCCAGGGAGAGGATTCTCACCAGATCCTGACCATGTTGGCAACCTAGTTTTGGGCTTCCAGTCTCCAGAACTGTGAAAAACAAATGTTCATTGTTTATACCAAAAAAAAAAAGTAATTATTGATAAGTAATTAATGACTGTTATCATTTTTTAAAATTTGTTTTCCGGTTGTTCTATAGATCTATTGTTCCTTGTTTCTTACCCTGCTCTCTTTTTGTGTGTGTATGTGTTTCCATGGGCTGTTGTATCAGTATGCTTTGACTTTATTATGTTCTTTTGTGTAATGACTACAGGTTTTTCTCTAGTGGTTATCATGAGGTAATACATGAAATATCTTAAAATCATAACACCCTATTTTGAACTAATAACTTCAATAGAATTCCTAAGCTTTACACTTTTACTTTCCCCCTCACATTTTAAGTTACTGATGTTACAATTTACATATTTTTATATTGTATAACTAATAACAGATTATTATAGTTATGACATTTGTTTTTTTAACTATTAGATTAGTAAGTGAATTAAAGACCACTATTACAGACTGTCTGACTACATATTTACCATTATCAGTGCATTTTACACTACCATACGTTTTTATGATGTTAATTAGCATCCTTTTATTTCCACTCAATGAACTCCCTTTAGCATTTCTTGCAAGGCAGTTCTAGTAATGATGAATTCCTTTAGCTTTTGTTTGGTCAGGAAAGTATCCCTCCTTCATTTCTTAAGAACAGCTTCACCAGGTATAGAGTTCTTTGTTGACAGATTTCTTCTTTCAATATTTAGAATATGTCATCCAATTCTCTTCTGGCCTGAAGGCTTTCTGATGAGAAATACACCAATAGTCTTATGAGAGTTCCCTTGAATGCAACTTCTCTCTTCTCTTGCTGCTTTTACAATGATTTCATTGTCTTTGACTGTTGATGATTTAATTATAATGTGTCTTGGTTTAACACTATTTGAGTTCAACCTCTTAAGGATTTTTTTTGGTCCTCTTGGATTTGGATGTCTATTTCTCTCCCCAGGTTTGGGAAATCTTCAGCCATTATTGCTTTAAATGTACTTCCTGTACCTTTTATCTTTTTCTTCTCCATAATGCAAATGTTGTTTCTTTTCATTATATCCCATAAATCCTATCTTCCTCTCCTGCATGGTTGAGTCTGCTTCTACACTTCTCTATTGAATTCCTCAGTTCAGTTATTTTTCAGTTCTAAGATTTCAGTATTTTTTTTTTTGATGGTTTCTATTCCTTTGTCAAACTTGTTTTGTTCATGCAGTTTTCCTATTTTGTTTAGGTCAGTCTGTGTATTCTTGTAGTTCACTCAAATTCTTTATGAGGATTATTCTGAATTCTTTGCCCGACAGTTCATAGATCTCCATTTCATTAGAGTCAGTTATTAGTTTCCTTTGGGTGTCATATTTATCTGATGTTTCATGATCTGATTTCTTATATAGCATCTGCACATTTGACTAAGTCATCTCCTCTTCCAGAGTTTGCAGGTTCACTATGGCAGAGACAGTCCTTCACTACTCAGATCAGTTTGAGTTTCTAGATGTGTCCACTGACAATGTCCCTGGGCAGGTGGGGTCTCCTATTAGAGTCTATTTTTAGACAACTGTTCCAGCTCTGATGTCAGGGTGTGTGTGTGGCGGGGGCGGGGGGCAGAGGGGGTGTGCGGGTTGCCACTAGCTAAGAACAGTTGGATAGGACTACTGGCTTGGCTTCCTGCCCATGCAAGGCTGCAGGAAGGGCTCTGAAGTTGCCTGGGTTCTCTGGTCAGGCTTACTAGATGGTCAGGACTGGGTATGAGCCTCAGTAGTTGGGGCTTTGAATCAGCTTTCCTACCTTGGCAGGGCAGTAGGATGGAACTCAGGCCCTGCATGACTTATTGTTTGGGGATCCAAATTTGGTAAGAGCGTATCCTGGTTAGGTGAGGCCACTGCTTTAGTTCTGCAGATAAGGAAAGCCACAGCCTATGTACTCTCTTCAAGACCACTGTAAGCCTGGCCATTGGAGGGTCTATGCAGCTTCTTATGTGCTCTGGTAAGGTACCCCAGCTGAACTGGCTGACAGCCATATTCAGCAATGAACGGGACTATGAATCAGATTCTCTGCCCCATGCATCAGGAGAAGCAGCTCCACCACCACTAAGGTTCTTTGTTTGGTACTTGACTCAAGTCCACCCATGCTCCATTAGTTCCTTGGCTGGACAAGATCACTAGCTTTGCTCCAGGGACAGTCATCTCTGCCTTCCCCTATCTTGGCTTGAGCATTTCTGAGTTATGAAGCAGCTCCTGGGTTCCAGCAAGCCCTTCCTGATGGATAGGGCCTAGGGATATGCTTCTGCCTGGGCAGGACTGGGAGGGCCTACTTCAGCTACCTCCCAAATTTTCCCCAACATATTTTTTGGTCAGGAGGGAAAGGAAGTTATATTCTGCAAAGGGTAAGGCTATGACCCAGCCCTTCTGCCTGGACATTGGCATACCAGGCTCCAGGGCCTGCGAAACTCACTGGAGGACCCGCATCAGGCAGACGTGCATGCCGCTGAGCTCCCTGGGGAGACTGCACCACTGACTTGGTCTGCAGGTGAGCAAAGCTACTGGTTAGGGCTACTAGTTGGCTTCTGTGGAAGGGAGATCTGTCTGCCAAGATCCAAGTGCTCACTGTTGGAAGCCCCTCCTCCCCTTTTCCACCAGATTCCTCTGCAATCCCAGGGGTAAAACCAAAGTAGGAGCTCCCACACATTGCTGAGGGAGCTGGATGTCTGCCCTGGGCTCTCTTTTCCCACTGGAGGAACTGTAGGTTCAGGGAACACCTCTCTGTGGTGCTGTACCAGCCTGGGGGAGGAGCAATGCCGTTAGGATGTAGCCATTCCTCTTACCTTTCTACTGCAGTCTGTCTTGGTCACTGTGATACAGGGGTTTACTTCAGCCTCACTCCCATGTTCTATGATTCTCTGTGGTGTTTTGTCCACGGTAGTTGTTTTTGTAAGGAGGAATGAAGATAGGAATGCAGTAATAGAGTGATGTAGGAATAACCTACATCACTCTATTACTGCACTCTTGGAATATCTTCAGTGGTAGGAAACTCGTGTTTTTTTCAAGGTAAACCTGATTTACAAACACTGAAGAGTCACTTGGAGTCATATCTAAGAAGGGATGGGTCATGTAGTTATAATATAACTTTAAATAAAGCTGTGGGTCATAACCCTTTTGGCCATACATTCCTTTTGAGATTGTGATTAAACATGTGAAACCTAGAAAAAGGAGGGCTGGCAGATGAGGATTTTGCATTTGAAAGCACAGACCTGTTGCTGTGAGATGGGTACTTTCATGTTTTGTCCAAAACTGGGGTTTCTAGATTGCACTTGAGTTTCCTCGGAATCTATAAACACATGGAGGTTGTGGCAAAAGGTGGGAATAATCCATCCTCCCATCTCTCTCAACAGCACCTTTCTCCATTTTGAATGTACACTTAGGGCAATAGTATATGTTTCATTTGCTGCTGTTCCTAGAACAGGTCCCAGTACTTACTGAGCCCTTATTAACTATTTAGATAATGAATGAATAAGTGAATGGATGATAATTTAATATTGGGTTCCCAGGTAAGATTTTACTTACCGAAAAAACTTGTGCTAGAAACAATTTTTAAGAACCACTGCCACAGGTAATTCTAGTAGAGAGATTTCTGGGTGCATAAATGGGTGGAAAGTTAGGTTTTCTTTGAGATTTAGGGAAATCTCAGCATTAGTGATACAGTATCTATTCTGTTTGAGAATGAGTTCAGATAGAATCCAGAGCTAGGCACAGTGAGCATTCAGTGTAATAGCACAATGGTCAGTCTCTGAAACGGGACCCTGGGTCTAGAAGCCCAGCTTCCCTTCAGTAAGGAACTCTGCAGGTGGATGAGGCTGCCAAAGTGGTCATACATTTGAACAATAAAACCTGTTCCGTAATATTATTCTTTTTGTATGTACCTGTGGGTGGCCATGGAAACAATGATTACTAGTCCTGGATTCACTGGCTAAAATAAAGTGCCTTAGCTTCTGGTAGAAATGAGGACTGTCAATGCAGAACAACAGGACAGAGAGTACATATTCAATAGCCACCCTCCCCCCCAAAAAAGTTTTCTTAAAAAACAAAGACAGGCATAGAATTTATGTGTAAAGATTTTTTTAAAAAGGCATTTCATTTAGCAAGGGCAATACAAAGGGGTTATATAAATTTATTTTTCATATAATAATTGATTAGAAAAAATTCCCATTTTCGATGTTTAATTCCATCTCTCATTTTTTTTTAAAAAAAATCACTAAAAGGACAAAAATCCACACAAAAATACAATCTGTATCTATTCTATATTTACAGATAATCGGTCACTATTAAGGCACAGACTGATCAAAAACTACCATTTATTCAAATAATCCAAATATTTTGTGCATCATATAACACTGACAACACCATGTACTGTAGTGTCATATTCCCTTCATTGCATCAAGAGAAAGTGAGAAAAATAATTTCCAGTGTTTTTATTTTTAGCCACCCTATTTAATCTAGTTTAATTGGAACAGTTTTCTCTTTGGCATAAAGCACTGTTCATAAAATCTCCAACTTCATACCGCAAATTCATTCCATCTTCCTCCTGTTGCAAATGCATGGTAGAGAGTTGGGGAAAGAGCTCCAAATGATTTTTTTTTTGAGAAAGTCTTATTAAAGAAATAAAATTTAGAGACTTAAGCTGTTGAACAGGAAACAAATCTGGAATTTTTACCCTGTGCTGAAGGTGGAGCATGTGTTCACACAGCCACCTAAGGTGGAGAGCTCCACGTGATGATGTGATGTGCGCAGGATGATTCTATCGTACTTGCAAAGGGAACAATTCTATATCCTTAAGCAGATTTAGTTTAGAAATGGGCATCCCCTTAGAGCTGTTACAATTGATAATTTATGTCAGGTCCATTATCTATGCCTTCAAAGTAACCAATACAATTTTTTAAAGTGAAAATCTTTGTGTGTGCAAAATTTCTCTAATAATAGTATGACTTAGCCACAGAAAAGTGTCAGGCAAGTATTTCTGATTCTGCATTTTTTAAAAATCCTCGATTGTTATGTATGCTTATCTAATGCCTTCTGCTGAGAGCATGCAACAGTGGTTTATGTCCACGTAGAAAATCTTGAATAATGAACATAAATAAGTCATTACAGTACAGATAATTCACAACATTTCCTATGGGAAAGTTTTCAAACAAATTAATACACTTGGAAATAATATTGCTTTGAAGAAAGAGAGGCACTTAGTGATTTTCTTCATGAATTGAAAACCCTTCATAACCCACAATACAATGTCTGAAAAGACCTAGGAAACAATGTTGCCTGATTTCTTGGACTTTCACAGTATAGGATTGTAAAAATGAATCTAGCCACTTAAAAAAATAGTCATTTTTCCCCCTCCTTCAACCGTCTATAAACTGTCACCCTGGAGACTAAAAGCCTTCCGTTTTCAACAAACATAAGTCTACTTCAAGCAGACAAATATGGTTTCAGGAAAATCCTTTTACCATATGGAGCACAGCTAATGTGTACATGATAAGGACAGTAATCTATTTCTCCTCCTAATGGCAACAGTGCTGTCTTGTCAGATGATTATTTGTCTTTTTTAAATAAAGTGACAATCTAGGGCTCCAGTTATTGAATGCCGTCCATTCTCTACCATAAATCTCTAGTAGATATCAATTTAATCAGTTATGTGCTGTATGCTTATAATATCTAAAAATAAAAGTTTGATATAAATAAGTGTCCTTTAGTGGCAGTATACTAAAAATAGCCCTTTGCTTTCAGACAACCATTAAAATCATTTTAGCAATATAGGCAGCAGCTAAATATGATAACTGCAAAGGGTTAATATTGCAAAGTCCATTTGATCTTTCTTTGCACCTGTTACAGTGAACTATGTTCATTGTTTCTAGGATGCTGACATAAATGAAGAGAACTGGTCCAGAACCAAGTGGCGTCACTTACATTTCCCAAAGTTACAGAATATTCTGCACAAAAACTAATAATCCAGTACCGTTTCAAACAAAAATGTAACGCGGTCAGAAAAATGTGACTAAATCTGATTTGTACCAATAAACCAGGTGACATAAAAATGAGAGAAAGAGAATTTCCACAGGACAAGAAATTAGAAAGTGTAAAGTGCTGAAAGACCTCAATAATTATTTTAAAGCAGTACCAGGAAATTTCACTTTGATTATTTTTTTTAAAACCCCAAATACCAAAACAAGTGAACAATAACCTGTTTTCTGGCATCCCAGATGTTAATTCATCCTTCATTTTAAGTAAAAAAAAAAAATCAGTGCATATGTTATATAGGTAAATAAAAACGAGAAATAAAGCCCTACCCTCATATTGCAAATTCTGTTCAATTACCATTTTTTTTAAAGAGTAACCATATGTGGTATTCTGTATGATGACATGAAGAACATCTCTCTTCTTCCTTTTTGGCACAAAATTCAGGTGTGAATAGATGCTTTGGTCCTGATAACCAGACACCCAGAGTGCCTAGGACGGTGTGCAGTGAAGGCCATCCACAGATCTCCTGTGTCCAACCTGACAGAGTTGGCAGGTATGTACCTGGAAAGTACTGCTACCAGCGGCCACTGACACTAGCAATGTCCGAGTGATACTGACGGGGCAGCCGCCCACTGGCTCCGCCTTCCAGGAAAGAGGTGCGTGCGTTTGGCGGTTCAAAAAGTTTTCTTCGGTTTTTATTTAGTTCTAGAGAGAGAGAGAGAGAGAATTGTTAGAAGCTGAATGGAGAAGTTCTATAGTCTACAGGACATGGCAGCAGAGCTCAGAAAATGGTGACATGGCACACTTTTTTGGCAGGGGGACGTCTGGTAGCAAAAGGAAAACCTTTAATTGATGGTTAAACATTCTGAAATGCTAGGAAGTCCAAAAATAAAGGTAGCCTGTTGGTAGCCAAGAGAACCAAGGACAGCCAATAGGTTTTACTACAGTTTGTAAACTATCTGGGGGATAGGTCATTCTCACAACCATCTAAACCCTGGGCATACAAATTAAACAGTTTGACCTATCCCAAATGTCATTTCAGAGACATTTACCAATGACACAAGAAAATCATTACAGCTATTGAACTCATCTATGTCAAACACAGCAATCATTAAATTATGAAAGTCGGAAATGAAAAGCAGACCCCACACCTAAATACAAGACTATTAGAGGAGCACACAGAAGTGTTCAGCCACAGCCCTAAGGCTCCACAAGTCATGATGACTGTGCTCCTTGAGTAGAAAGAGCTCTATGAAGAAGCATATTAGCAGGAGGTTTCTTTGAATAAAAAATCAGTTTAGTAAAAATAGCAACAGTTTAGGAAATAAATACAATTGAAAACAACTAATACTTGAATCTAAATTTCCAGGCAAAGTCTAAGATGCTTAATTTTAAAGAAACCAGAGTACTTAGAAAACACTGTTTAGTTTGTCTTTTGTCAACTAAAAATTATTAACCAGAAAAGTAAAAAATTAATTGAAGCAGCCTACCTGTTTATGACTCTTCTACTCCTCTATTCCCAGCCCCCGCCCCAAACACATATCTACAAATCAACTGATGTAACTCTTGCTAGTGAACTCCTACAAGTAGAATAGTCAGACTCTGAAATGCAAATATCTTCAGACATTCACTTTCAAGTAGAGGGATTCTATAGTTGGTTTGGGAGGCAGTAATTCAGCACCTATATGTGCATAGTACTCAGTACTTTTTCAGCCACACACATATATAATCAATTCCCTTTTGAATCCTGAAGTTGCACTGCAAGCTGTGGCCTGCTACAATAATGCTGAGACTGAGAACACAGACTCAGGTTGCAGGGTCACAGGTGGCCAAAGAGGGCCACGTGGCTAGAAGTGCTCTTGTCTCCTAAGTTCTGGAAGATGGACTGAATACCCAAAACGTTTCATCCCACTGCCTTCCAAAATGTGAGTGTCTGCCACCCCCAAGCCCCGGGGCAATGCACAGGTGGAGACATCTCTCTCTCCGCATTTAGGTCTTAGAGGAGAAGAAAAACAATTGTGATTTAAGTCCACTATTCTTCATCTTATAGATAAGAAAACTGAGGTTTAAGAATAGACAAAGTTACCCACACAGCTGTTAAGTGACAAGTTGTAACCCTGCCTGATGCAAAGGTCCATGCCCTGGGCTGCAGTGATCCATCCACTGTGCGAGAAGATAACTCAAGGCATCGGGAACACAAATTTGAGAAATTGGTAGTTTCATGTATGCCAGATAGCAGTGCTTTACTTCATAGTTTACTATACCGAATTTTTTTAATAGAAAAATTAAGCTTAAAAACTTTAAAGAAGCAAGGAAGATACGTGCAGACATGCTTATAGCAGCTATTGCTTCGAGTTCCCGCAGAAACCTAACAGACATGACATTCCTATTAAAAGTTGAACACATGTTTCTTGTTTAAAAAAAAAAAACCCAAGCAAATAGAGAAATCAAAACAGAACTTAATATATTTAAAGGCAATTGTAGAAGAGTTAAGAATAAATGAATCCTCTTAAGTACACAGCCTGGAGAAGTTTTGTCACCTTCAAGTTAAAAGATTTTCTTAGGCCTCCATTTTCTCATGGAGGAATAACCCACAAATCAGAAGGATATTCCATACTATAGAGAAGGAAAAGAATGAATGAGGTCAAACACTATTCTCCCCTATCACACATAACAATTGGGCCATTGAAGACAATTTTTTATATAGCGTTGAAAACTTTACTCTGAAAAGTCAAACCAACTAGATTTTTAAGAGAATAAAATGATCATGAAAGAATGTGGCCATTCCCTAAAGATGTAATTTCTAAGATATATATTTCAAAATGTGAAGCACAGAGATAAATCTACAGAGATTATCAAGGATCACATACTGAAGAGATTTTAGTTTTCGTTTTTTAAATTAAAAAGCAAACTCCTCCTCCTGCTTTTTTCAGTAAACCTAAGGGATAGTTTGGGAAAATACCAACCTTTTTCTTTGAAATTCCAAGGTTCACACAATCCTGGCAGCTCTCAGGATCTTGTTGCGGATCTGAACAGAGTCACAAACTAAAAGAATAGGTCGGGAAATGTTAGATCTACCTGAGGCCGTGGTGGACGCCTGTCAACAGGATGCTAAACTTCCTCTCACTTAGTCCCTGTACATTTAGTTAACTACTCCTTAAAATATTGAGAAATTTTTAAAAGTTCAAAAAATATGGATTTAAAAAAATCAATTTTTCTCTGATCTATCTCTACTAGGGATAAATCTCATCTCCTCCTACAATACTAAAATAAATGTCTTCTGGCCCAAGATTAAAAACAGCAAAACCTTATCCTGAAAGAACTCTGATTACAAGTTGAAAATCTATGAAATTTTAAAAAGGAATTTTGAGCAAACTTTGTACCTAACCAAACTATGTAACCACAAGACAAATATAAGTCAAGGCTGGCCAGCTCTCCTGTTCCTATCAAGAAATGGAATGTTCTAAGACTACAAATGGATGTATTTGTTATCAGATGAATTGAATTGGAAAAAGAAGCTTTTGGATGAAGGATTTCTCAATAAAAACTTATTACTTGCAGAGAAAAAAACAATTTACCAGGTTCAAAGAAATGCACTCAACAAAGTAAGGTAAAATCATCCTTAAAATAATCAAATACTTCCCACTGTGCACGGCATTCATAAGGCATCTTATTCAAAGTCTCTAATTCCCTTTAAAAGCAAGAAGGACCTGTGAACCCCACGGAGAGAGGCAGTCTACAGAAGTAGTATATAACCTGAATAGAACACACTGAAGATGACTGGAAAAAATACTTTTTAAAAATGGGATTCAAAATCCCTGCTGTTTCCCACTCTACTCCCAAAACCCACCTGGAATATACCACAAATGTGTTCCAAGTAAAGAGCCTAATGATCCATCAAAACTGGTTAAAGTATTTTGAGATATCTGCTTATTGCCGGAAGCCTAACAGAGTTTGGAATTGGGTTGGTGCACAAAGAAAGAACTTAATTTTCATTATACTATCACTGACATTCCATGAATCTCTAGTAAAGGATTGCGGAGTTCTAGAACATACACTTCTCTGGCAAAAATGCACTGAACCACAAACATATTTTAACAGTACAGATGTGGTGATTATGTGAGTTAATCAAATTTCAAGTCGTATAAATTCCATTTTCAAATAAAAGAATATGAAAATACATAGTTATATCAGGTCTAAAAATAGCCCTCTGAAGCTGAGCTTCAGGGTAAACAAGTTGAAAAATTATCCTGTTAAAGAATATATATATATATTAAAAAAAAAGGGAGGAATAGGACCCTGCTACTAACATACTATTAAAACTGTAGGTTATTTTCATTATGCCTGATGATATACCACATGGATGGACACAGATCTTAGAAACAGGAGATAACCGCACGTGATCATCTATTGCAATCTACCTTCATGGCTAAGAAACCAAAACCAAAAGAGGTTTGGAAACTCACCCAAGGACTCATGACTTGGCAGAAGCAAAGCCCAGATCTCCTTATTTAAATAGTGTTCTCTGCACTATACCAAGCTGATCTTATAAGAAGAGCGAGTGTCTGCTCTGTGGAGCTCCATTAAGCAGCAGCTTGGGCACATGGGAGAAGACAAATTCTCAACTGATGTGCACAGAACTGTATCCACAGAGAAGCCTAATAAACTGCTCAATGGCTGGATTTCCACCCCTATTTCAGAGCTGCTCTGCTTATATCTGCTTCAGCTATTAGGTTTATAGATAAGATTTCCTGTGGGGAGGTGGCTGGGGGATGTAATCTGCTGCTAAAACAAAATGGAAAGCAACTGAGGTTTTAAATTTTTTTTAATTGCTGATCTGATCACTGAATGCTGTTTGGAAGGGCCTTTCATGAGTTGGATGCCACTGCTGGCCTTATAAAGACATAGCCTGCAAGTTCAGTGTTCTGAAAAAGCAAAGTCATTTTCTCACCACACCTGACACTTGGCATCTGCCCTTGTCACTATTTTTTTTGAGAGACTGGTACGCATATCCAATTGACATTCATGAACTTTATCAGGAAGTCTTCAAAAAGTAACCCCATTTTTTTTGCCCCCTCAAATTTCTTCCTCATATTTCTCTAAACATCTTTTTGAAGTACATAGTTATTCATTTGCCAACTCCAAATTCATCATCTGGCTCAATTCCTTTCAAATGGGGTGTAAATATGTATAGAGCATTTGATAATGCACAGAATATGCAACTGATGCACAAAGGAAGTCTGGGAGACAGACAACATTGTTTTCCTGTGACTTCTCTCAGGATCCTACACCCTTCAGTGACTCACAGATTCTATTAAAATTTTGGGAAAAAATTAAAAAGAACATTAAGACAAGTAATACTGCCAGGCTCTATCTATACCAAGGAGCATCTTTTTTCCGCTGGTGCAGTGATCTCAGCTGGTATGCAAGGACACATGCATTTGAAACATGACAGCCAATCTAGAATAATTACTAATTCGATGATTAATTATTGCCTAACACAACAACAAAAAGGAGAATTCAACTGTTCCCCCAGTCTCATGATATGCAAAGGGCAATTTTGGTTATTTCTTTCTGAAGAGATCGGTTTTAAGCAATGACATTGTCACAGAAGTTTCCAGGCAATGCCTTGATGAAGGAGTAAGGATGGTCTCAGCATTTGTCACACTGTTAGTGGGAAAACACTGAAATCACAGCCACAAAGGTGCCATGGTAGTAAGCAAGTGATTAATGGGTAGAACCAGCCCCACTGGCAGAAGTTATTCAGATTTCAAAATATGAATATGAGTATTTATATTCACCTGAGATTGCAAGCAGCATTTTCCTCCTGGCACCAAAAGTAGTAATTCCCAGCTCCTTCAGATCCTGATCTGTGAGAGTGAGGAATGTCTGAAGATCAATCTGTGGGTGAAAAAGTAATATATAACCAATATAATAAGTATTTACTTTCTTTCTTATTGTAGGTTCAACTCATTATTACACTTATTTTATCAATTATGCTCTGCCTACTTCCAAAAGAGGTAATGGTAATGTCACAATGTATGGGACAAAAGTTAATTAAGGTGATGAAACAAAAGCGATTATTCTAGCAGAAGACTTAGCCTAAGCCAGTGATTTACTGCAATTGATATAAAAACTTAGGTCTGAGCATCCAGGCAGCCATGGCAAAAAGGGAAACACGAATTGCACATTTTTGTAAACTGATAAAAGAATACATATCTAAGAGAAAATATTTCTTAGCTTTGGATTCTGAGAATTGGTTATCTCTATAAGAAGAAACTGAATAATACCATAGATGGTATCTTTCACTGTGTTCTACTTAAGAATGATAGAAGAATTCCCAGGATACATCAGACCCATGACTCACTTGACTGAGCCTAGCAGACTATCTTTGAAAGTGGCACACAGGAGTATTTCCAGGAACAGTATAGATAAGATTTCCTGTGGGGAGGTGGCTGGGGGATGTAATCTGCTGCTAAAACAAAATGGAAAGCAACTGAGGTTTTAAATTTTTTTTAATTGCTGATCTGATCACTGAATGCTGTTTGGAAGGGCCTTTCATGAGTTGGATGCCACTGCTGGCCTTATAAAGACATAGCCTGCAAGTTCAGTGTTCTGAAAAAGCAAAGTCATTTTCTCACCACACCTGACACTTGGCATCTGCCCTTGTCACTATTTTTTTTGAGAGACTGGTACGCATATCCAATTGACATTCATGAACTTTATCAGGAAGTCTTCAAAAAGTAACCCCATTTTTTTTGCCCCCTCAAATTTCTTCCTCATATTTCTCTAAACATCTTTTTGAAGTACATAGTTATTCATTTGCCAACTCCAAATTCATCATCTGGCTCAATTCCTTTCAAATGGGGTGTAAATATGTATAGAGCATTTGATAATGCACAGAATATGCAACTGATGCACAAAGGAAGTCTGGGAGACAGACAACATTGTTTTCCTGTGACTTCTCTCAGGATCCTACACCCTTCAGTGACTCACAGATTCTATTAAAATTTTGGGAAAAAATTAAAAAGAACATTAAGACAAGTAATACTGCCAGGCTCTATCTATACCAAGGAGCATCTTTTTTCCGCTGGTGCAGTGATCTCAGCTGGTATGCAAGGACACATGCATTTGAAACATGACAGCCAATCTAGAATAATTACTAATTCGATGATTAATTATTGCCTAACACAACAACAAAAAGGAGAATTCAACTGTTCCCCCAGTCTCATGATATGCAAAGGGCAATTTTGGTTATTTCTTTCTGAAGAGATCGGTTTTAAGCAATGACATTGTCACAGAAGTTTCCAGGCAATGCCTTGATGAAGGAGTAAGGATGGTCTCAGCATTTGTCACACTGTTAGTGGGAAAACACTGAAATCACAGCCACAAAGGTGCCATGGTAGTAAGCAAGTGATTAATGGGTAGAACCAGCCCCACTGGCAGAAGTTATTCAGATTTCAAAATATGAATATGAGTATTTATATTCACCTGAGATTGCAAGCAGCATTTTCCTCCTGGCACCAAAAGTAGTAATTCCCAGCTCCTTCAGATCCTGATCTGTGAGAGTGAGGAATGTCTGAAGATCAATCTGTGGGTGAAAAAGTAATATATAACCAATATAATAAGTATTTACTTTCTTTCTTATTGTAGGTTCAACTCATTATTACACTTATTTTATCAATTATGCTCTGCCTACTTCCAAAAGAGGTAATGGTAATGTCACAATGTATGGGACAAAAGTTAATTAAGGTGATGAAACAAAAGCGATTATTCTAGCAGAAGACTTAGCCTAAGCCAGTGATTTACTGCAATTGATATAAAAACTTAGGTCTGAGCATCCAGGCAGCCATGGCAAAAAGGGAAACACGAATTGCACATTTTTGTAAACTGATAAAAGAATACATATCTAAGAGAAAATATTTCTTAGCTTTGGATTCTGAGAATTGGTTATCTCTATAAGAAGAAACTGAATAATACCATAGATGGTATCTTTCACTGTGTTCTACTTAAGAATGATAGAAGAATTCCCAGGATACATCAGACCCATGACTCACTTGACTGAGCCTAGCAGACTATCTTTGAAAGTGGCACACAGGAGTATTTCCAGGAACAGTATAATTGTTCTCTTTGGTATCAGCAACAAACTGTGGAGAGAAGTAGCCCAAGGATCCTACCCTTCCTTTGAAGACTGTAAAAGAACAGAAAGGCAATGGGCTCTGAAGCCAGAGAAATATGGGTTCGGATTCTGACTCTGCCATTACTGTGTGCATTTAGGGTTGACAATAGTGTACCTTGTAGGGCTGCTGTGGGTGTTAAATATGACTGTGGATATAAAGCAATGGGCTCACCAAAGGGATAAAATAACTGGCAGCTATGGTAATAATGTGTATAGACATACCTCGTAAAGTTGCTAAATAAATCTTCAACCTGTTTAAAATAAATCTCACAAGGTTACTTAACAGAGGATTCTTGTTAAATCATATGAATATTAGAAAATATCCTTTAGATTCCACATATAAGTGAGATCATATGGTATTTGTCTTTCTCTATAACTTATTTCACTTAGCATAATACCCTCTAGGTTCCATCCATGTTGTCACAAAAGCTAAGATTTCATTTAAAAAAACTTTTATGGCCATATGATCTCACTTTTATGTGGACTCTAAAGAACAAAATAAATGGACAAACAAAATGGAAATAGAACTGTTTGCCAGATTGGGGGGACGGGGTTAAAGGTGAAAGGATTAAGAAGTACAAATTGGTTACAAAATAGTCACAGGAATATACAGTACAGCATAGGGAATATCGTCGATAACATTGCAATAACTATGTATAGTGCCAGGTGGGTATTAAACTAATCGGGGGGGATCACTTTGTAAATTATATATAAATGAACGGTCACTAGGCTGTACACCTGAAACTAATATAAAATAACATTTAATGTCAACTCTAATTGAAAAAAAAAAAAAAAAGAATTCCTCTAATATTGTGGTCTTTGGGGTATATACAGAAGTCAGAAATGACCAAATTGTGCAACTTAAACATGT